GCCACTTTGTCCCAGCATCCCTAAAGTGGCTCTCCAGAATGTATCCCAAGGGGCACCCGGTGGCTCAGGCTCTTGGTTTCTGCTCAGGTCATGATCCCGGGGTCCTGAGATCAAGCCATGTGTCGGACCCCCTGCTCAGTGGGGAGCCTGGTTCTTCCTCTGCCTCTGCCCTTCCCCAACCCCCCCCCCACACCCGTGGTGCTTTTTCGTTCTCTCTCTCAAATAAATAAATAAAATCTTAAGGAAAAAAAAAAAAAAAGACGGGCTTTCTATGTGACGCGGGAGAGGGTAGGATTTTATCATAAAGGCCAAGGCTGGAAATACATCACACTTGCCACCATTTTCTTGTCCTTCAGTCGCAGTGACACCCCTCAATTGTCTTGGTACTCCTCCCAGAGCCCAGACTCTACCTCAGAATCTTTCTTAACCCACCAGCCTGGGCGGCTCCTACCAGTCAACTAAGATTTGACCAAAGAATTAAAAGCTGTCTGCCAAGCCAATGCAGGAGATGGTGGGTCACCAAAGGGCTTGAACCAGAGGAGAGTGTCCTCTACTGCATCTGAGAAAGGCCCATCAGGCAGCGGTACAGAGTGGGCATTGGTGAGCCACACACCAGGACATCCCGGTGCCCAGAATGATGGCAGAGTGGGGAGGGGTGGGGACTGAGTGGCTGGCCTCAAGAAACGTGGTAAGGATGACAGGTTCATCCAGGTCAAGCCACAAGGGTGGACCAGGTCATCGTGAGGGTTCAAGGAGGACCTACCTGTTCCTCACTCATTAGTATCAGCATCACTAAAAGTGTGACCGAGAGCAAGAGCACTGGCTGAAGGGTGAGGGGCAGCCTATGTGTGGCACAGGGGGCCAGAGGGCCAGAGGCAGCTAGGCAAGCTCAGGCTCAGACATGTGGCTAAGCAGCTCGGACTCTGTCCTGACCACAGTAGGGACAGCCAAACGAGGTCAGATCGGTTTTGCAAGCCTGTGCACCCTTCCTGCCCTTGGTGCCTTGCACATGGGGGCTCCCAGCAAGCCACAAGCCCAGCCTCCTGGTGTCCATGCTGTCCTCATCGTGCAGACCAGGAAACAGACTCAGGGGGGTTCCAAAACATGTGCAAGTCCATATTGTGAATCAGGGACAGAGCCTGAAGCCCCCCCATGCCGAAGTGGGTGGGAGGAGCCGAGGCCCTTAGAGCTGGCCCTAGCCTGGGCCCTGCACTTGAAAGGACCCTCCTCTGCCTGCTCTAGCCAAGCCCCCTCTCATGGGATGACCAGGCTGCGGGGCCAAGATGATGTTCCCACCCAGGCCATCCTTCCAGGCAGACCCCGGAGCTAGTATGCCCACTTCTAGGCCAATGGATATAGAGTGAACTTGGACATGAAGCACGAGGGGTCCATAATCCTGTGCACAAAGCCCCTCACCGTGTGGGAGGAATCCGGGGTAGAGGGTAGGCCAGAGCCAGCCCTCCCCCACCAACATTTTCCAGAACAGAATTTTAAGGGATCCATGAATTCCTCATTGACCCAGCTTTCCAGGTCACTGAGAAGATACACTCATCAAGGTTGGCAGACAGAACCCACTCACTGAACCATCCGTTAGCCTGAGTCATAACATACAGACATTCAGCCCTACGGCATGTCGGCTCCATCTGTCCTCATGCCTCCGGCCCTACACAAGAGTAAGTGGTTTCTGGAATGAGCTCTCTGCTTCAGAGAGACACAAAACACAGTTTTGTCTTTGGTCCACCGCCCCACAGATCCACTCTCCAGATGCATTCATTCCTTCCTCTGCTGCAATCCCGGCCAGTCCCACATCTCTCCTGTTTCCTCCTAGTCAAAAGAACACCTCCACCCCAAAAATTAAGATGAAATATAAAATCTATCATTTATCCAGATTAAAATTTCTCCTTCCTCCAGCTGGGAGACCCACAACATGGATAAGGCGTAGAACCCCACGTCTGGTCTCATTCCTTGTGCCTGGATTCCCCGCGGCTGCTCTGGCCCCTTTAGGGTTGAAGGTAGAGGTGAGGAGGAGACAACAGACAAGACCCCACCCCCACCCCATAAACATCTGTGGCATAGAAGGGAAGAAGGGAGGAGGCTAGGAGAAGGGCAAGTAAGGGAAATGTGCATACTTTAAAGGGTTCCCCAAATGCGTTAGGCTTTCTACGCTAGAATGGAGAAACTGAGGCAGGGGGCTGGGGGTCCTGCAGGTGCATTAATACCGCATTGCCCTTCAGCCTGGATTTGGCAGCTGAACACTCTATGGCCAGCAAAAATCATTAGTGGCCCATATGCAGGGCTGCTAGGTTCTACTGCAAACAGCCCTCTGAGGAAGTGGGGTCCTCTTTTTTTTTTTTTTTTTTTTTACCCAAATTGCTTAAACAGATGGGTCCACCCTGGGCTTCTGACAGAGGGGACCGGAGCAGAGCACCCTGGGTCAGGCAAGGTGTCCCCAGCACAGGTCTGACCCAGAAGGGCGGGCCTAGGCTCGCACGCACGCGCATGCGCACACGCGCTCCCACGAAGGCGAACACAGACCACACCCGAAAATCAGATGCCAACAGGAGCGATACCATGACCTAAAGGAAGACGATTCGTCAAGAAACAGCTCTGTCCCTTGGCCCATCGACAGAGACCAAGCCACTGTAAACACACACACGGAGAGCCAAAGCCAAGGCCGAGGCCGTGAAGGGCACTGCGCCAAACGCTGCCTCCAAGTCCTCTGCTTCTGGGGCTTTTGAATTTCAAGGACACAGGCCACCTGTGACTGATCGCTCATGAGACACAGGAGCGTGTGACCCCAGGCCAGCTCAAGCCTGCGATGGCCACGCATGGCAGGATCCAGTCACGTTTCGGAGCGTCACTTTCCAGCGTCTGGAACCCACCCCAAGCCTCCTTAACACCTCCGGATATCGTATTTGAGAATCCATTTTCCACAGATTCATCCAGAGCCTCTCTAAACCTAATTATACCTTCTCCCGGCTCCCATCTTGGTAGAAGGAGTTCTGGAAGATTACCACGATTGTTTGGGTCTCTTTTCATTTATGCTACAACGGTCCCTTCCAAGTTTCTGTGGCAGCCCCCAAGTTCCAGCCCACCCAACACCAGAACGCCAGCCCCCTTTCACTCTCTTCGTGGACCTCACCTCTGGCTCTTCCCAACATGCATGTCTCACCCTGTGGCAGCCCTTTTGGATTTTCCTTCCCACACTTTTTAATTACAAAAATAATCCTTGAATCTGTGCCGCTGGGAAAAGATGCTAGGGAGACCCGAGAGGAGGGAGGGAGAAAATGGAAGTCCACCCACCTCACCACGCCCCCCTTGCCCTCCAGCCTCTGTTCTCCCCCATACAGGTCACTGCAAGAACTATTTGCCTACAAGCTTTATTTCTGGGCATTTACATACCCATAAATCAGAATGGTTTTTGCATAAATGAGATCTTGTTAACTCTATCATCCTACAACCTGCAAAGTTTATCTTTTCAGACTCTTCTCGTATGGAAATGCGCAGAGGCCACACGACTGTGGGTGTTTGGAGAATAATACTAACAGAGGCCGTGGGCAAGTATTCCCAAACACAATGAGGGAAATAAAATTGTATGCAAAGTTTTCCAGAAGCACTTCTTCGCTTTTCAGAGTCCGGCCTTACCCAGCCATTCCCAGCACAAAACATCCCTGTCTCCCGGGGCTATAAGACATTGCCAGGATTCATCTCGGTAGCTCTTCCAGATTCAGTAAATAAATATCCCGGAGGAGAAAGAACTGGGACCAGTCTCTCGCTCTCCTCCCTAATAATAAGCGGAGTGGTGCAGCAAAAAGCTCAGGATTTGGGGAAAGCCAAGGAAAGGTCGGTCTGGAGTTGCCACAAACTTGGGGACCTCCCTCTGGAGCTCAACTTCCTCCCTGGAAGGAAGGAACGAAGGAACGATTATGCTGTAACAGGTACCCTCGGAGTGGTTTTAGGATCAAAAGGCGTGGAAGGTACGAATGAATAGAGACCTATGACAGCAGTGTAGGTTATAATTATTAAAGAAGGAAAAGTTGGGCGCCTGGATGGCTCAGTGGGTTAAGTCGCTGCCTTCACCTCAGGTCGTGATTCCGGGGTTCTGGGATCGAGTCCCGCATTGGGCTCTCTGCTTCAGCGGGGATCCTGCTTCCTCCTCTCTCTGCCTACTAGTGCTCTGTCTGTCAAATAAATTTTAAAATCTTTAAAAAAAATGAGGAAAAGCTAAATTCGAGTGAGCCGCGCAAACGAGGTGTCTGGCAACTTTTCCTCGCGCGCTTACGCGTTTTCTGGGAATTCAACCGCGCGGTGAGGAGACGCAGCCCCAACCGTCCCGGGGGGTGGCCAGGGCGCCACCTGCCGGCCGAGGCGGAGGCCCCCGGTGCGTCCCGGCCCCGTGGGCTCCGTGACCCCGCTCCTTCGCCCGCCCCATCGCGGATCCAGCGGAGCCGAGCCCGGCTCCTCGTCCCCAAGTGGCTGCGGAGGCGCAGCCGAGGCTCCTCCGCGGCCTCAGCCCTCCAGACGGGACGGAATCGCCCCTCCGGTGTCCTGGGACAGCCGGCAGGAGACGCGGGAGACCCGGACGCTCGACCTTGGCAACCCGGGAACCTGCTCCCCAACACAAAGCCGCGGCCGCGCAGGTGAGCGCGGCGGAGCCACGTGAACCCGTAAACGCGCAGGGACCGAGCCACGGTCGCCCCCTCCGCGCGCCCCTGCCGCAGACTGCGGCCACCCTCCCTCGGACCCGGGAGCCGAAGAAGGGGGAGGTTGGGAGAGCAAAGAAAGGAAGAGAGAGGGTGGGCGCGGCCAGAGACCACCGCAGTCCGGGCCCCACACCTCCGGACCCTCGGCCCCGCGGCCGCAGCCCCGCCGCCCTGCGTTCCCCCCCCCACCACCGCCCAGCGCCCCCCGCCCCGCAGCCAGCCCCTTGTCTGCGGCCCCCAGCTGAAGGGGACCCCCAGCCCTCAGCCCCCCAGGCCCCGCAGCCGCGCGCTACTCACCGGCGGCTCCCGTAGCCGCTGCCGGGGGAGCCGGCGGCCGGCTCGGGGTAGCCGTGCTGCTGCAGGGCTGCGGCCGGGAAGGGGTACAGGAAGCCGGTGGCCAGCGCCGACCCGCAGAGGCAGCAGCACGCCCAGGGCAGGAGGAGAGCCAGCTTCATCTTGCGCGGCCGCCCGCGGGGGCCCGGAGCCCGGGCGGGAGGACAGGCGGGAGCGCACCGGCGGCCGGACCGAACCCGCGGCCCCCGCCGGGAGCAGAGCGACGGAGCCCGCGAGCGAGCGGAGCCCGGCCGGGAGTTGGAAGTTTGGGGGGGGGGCGCCCACGCCTCACCAGGGCCGCCTTTTCAAATTCAGCGAGGTGGGCTCAGCGCCGTCAAAGGGGGCGTGGGGCTTTTTCATTAACCCTCGGCGGTCCGCGGCCGAGGAGGTGCCAGTGGCTGCAGGCCTGGGGGTCCTGCGTCCTCGCGCACACGCTCTTTAGAACCTTCCCGACCGAGCCCTGTTCGGGTCCGCAAACGCTCGTGGGGCACCCACTCCATGCCTGGCGATTTCCCCTGGGCAAAGTTGTTTAATCCCCACAGCATTGTCCTCTATGTTAGATGGCACCGTTCCCATTTTTCAGAGGTGAAAACCGAGGCTCACGAGAATTAAGCCGGAAAAGCAACGCGGTACCTGTCCGGGGCCCTTTGGGCCAAACTCTTGCACACCCGGGCTTCCCTAGAATCCTCTTCCCGTTCACCTCCACCGTCTACCTCCACAGCTATCTCTACAAGGTGAGCTGTAGCACAGAAGGAGGAAAGCGCGGGGTCAGGGCTGAGAAGTTTCTGGAATCACCCATTCGTGAGGCATCAGATCTGGAAAGTAGCTGAGGGGAGGGGAGATCTAATACAATCCCACCTCCCACCTTTTACAGAGGGACAGGCTGAGCCCACCGACTAGCCTGGCCCCAAATTGATCTCTTCTGGGCTGCAGGATACCCACAGAACCGCCCCTCATGCAAGAGACAGGTGGGACCTGAATCCAGCCTGTGCCCCACTCCCTAGGTTGGGAGTCTCATTTCTCCACCTAAGCATCCTAGGGGCTGGCAGAGGCCCTGAGACTGCCTCTAGCCCTGTTCACAGTGGGGAGCTCCCAGTCTGTAAAATGTCAGTAAATCTGGAGAGAAGCCAACCAATAAGGAAGTGTTTAATGGGTTGTAATACATTTGGGAAGAGAACTGTGGGATTGTTTTTAGAAGAAGTCGGGAGGATGCTGTTGGGAACCTGGCCCAAAAGGCCCCCTCCGGTGGCTTTTGCCCTCTTGCATCCATATCCCATAGGTACCCCCTTGAGTACATAGCCCAAAATATCATATCCAACCCACTTCACCCTCTCTCCAAAACTACCCCCTCTTTCTCCACTTAGTGCCCTCAAATCCTGCCCAGGCATTTTCCAGTGGCACTCCCACACTTCCCAAGTGTCGAGTCTCTCAACAGCACTCCGGATGGATGAGTCCATCTCCGCGTGGGCAGCCCATAACGGGAAGCGTCACTTGGACCTGGGACGACTTCCTTTTCATCTTGCCCTCCATCTCTCTCTCAAGGCCTAGAAGATTTGGAGAATTTGGGGTATCAGCGGAATTTCAGGGCCTCCCCCAAAACTGATCTGTGCTCCCTGGACAGTTGGCTAAGTCCCAGGAAGTGATGAGGTCATTCCCCATCTCCCAGGAATTTGTAAACATTCTTTCTTCTTCCTCTTCTTTACTCTCAGAATGAGACAAGAGAGATTCCATGTTATTGTACATGACCTTTATACTGCAGGCATGATAGTAAGAGGACAGATTTTTTTTTTTTTTAAGAATCTCCTTTTTATCTTAAAGTTATTTTTTTCCAGGGCCACAGACCGCACCCCAGCTAGAGGGACCTAGAAGAGGATGGGATAACACTACTCTTTATTTTGTAGGATTCTTTTAGGATGAAAAGCTGTTGGAAAAGAATTAATTCATCCCAGCAACTTCAGGACTGGGGCAATTGTCTGAGGGTGGTCCTTTCCTTCATATCTAGGCCAATAAAGTTCATTCTGGCCCCATGACCATGAACCAGGCAACTTCTGTGTGTCCCACACGGTGCTGCCTGCAGTGAAGGCAAGTAGAGGAAGAGAATATATTTACCCCATTTAGACCACTTGTGCTATTCTTTAGGAAGGCTTTAAAATGGCAAAACCTCGATGGTAAGGGATAAAAAGCAAAGATGCCTAAAATCAAGAAAAGAAATAGGACTTCTCCCACACCAGCCAGACCCAGAAGCCCCAGGTCTGCTCCTGGCTCCCCCCACTAACTTGTTGATGACCTTGAGTAAACTCCCATCTCTGGTATCCCCAGCCCACCCCCCGACCCCACATCTTCATTTGTAAAGTGAAAAGTGGTTTGGCTTGTCTCTGAAGATCTTTCCAGGTCTGGTCTTCAGTAACTCACTTTTTCCCTTCATCCTCCACTCCCCTCTCCAAGGCAGCTGTCAATATAGCCAACCTTATCAAGCTGTCACTCTTGTAGGCCAGATTTGCAGCAGCTGGACCCCCCTCCCTACCAGCAGGGCCTAGAAGAATAGAGGAATGTTCACGGCATCACACTCTAAACTCCCCCATCCCCCACCCCAGAGAACACCAGTGAGTAGAGTCCAACTCCCAACTAGTACCAGCTGTGTGACCTTGACAAGTGACCTAACCTCTCTGAGCATCCTCAGTCTGTAAAATCAGTAATAATAACAGTGGATGCATTTGCTAGAAGAGAATTTGATGAATCATTCACACGAAGTGCCCGAAGGCAGCAGGTAACACCTTATAATGTTCAATAAACATTAATTATGATCATTTGCAAGGCTTTGGTGTAGAATAATATCTAAGAACACCACCCTTCCCAACCCCACACCCCCGGTGGGGCTGACCAGGAGGCTCATATCCCAGAGTGTGCAGAGCTTTCTCCAACGATTCTTGGAGCCCCAGGATGAACCCATTATTGTCTTATTCTGTGGTCAACAATTTAAAACAAAACTTTATTTTTAGAATAAATACAGGAGGGGCACCTGGATGGCTCAGTCAGTAGAGTATCTGGCTCTTGATCTCAGGGTTGTGAGTTCAAGCCCCACGTTGGGTCCAGAGCCTACTTTTAAAAAAAAAAGAAAAAAAGATGAAATTTTTAAGAATAAAACAAATGTGGGGGAGATTATTGTGTAAAATAGGCAATTTGTGTTATTTTTTGTAGGTGAAACATGCTTGTGGGGGGTGGCAAGAGTAGGGAGGTGTGAGCGCCCCGAAATAAGGGGCCAGGTGGTACCCTTAGAATTGAGTGTTCCTCAGTCATAAAATTGATCAGCTGGCCTTGTCAGCACATCACACAAGCACCTGTCTGACTATTCCACAACCGTGCCTGTGGCACCCCCAAAAATATACTAACACTTGGGAAAAGGCAGAAGCCGCCATTGCCAAGGGCTTGGAACTGGGCCCCGTGCAGGGCTCGCTCCTTCCTCCTCTCTTCCTTGGTGACATGGGCGATCCCATAACCAGCCCCTCCCAACCTCGATACAATGAAAACCCCACCAACGGGGACTGGCAGGGCTGTGCTGAGCACCTCCACTGTTTACACGGACAGGCAGGGGTTCTCAGAATTCCCATTTTTCAGACGAGGAGTTGAGCGAAGTGATTTGTCCAGGAGCCTGCGCTCGCCCCGTTTCCTAAGTTCAAAAGTGCCTTTAAAAAGGGGGTTGTTTGTACAAAGAGGGATCAGATTTCCTGGTGGAAGGAGGCAAACCCCACACATGCGTGAGTGTGCACACACACACACACACACACACACACGACTAGGGGGGTTCCTCCTCATCTCTGTTACCAGGCCTTTCTGATAAGAAAATATCAGTCAGCATCCTCTTCCGCAGACAAAAAACAGATCTTCTGTTCTGCTGAAGTCAGCAGAACCAGCCACTCACTGAACAGAGAAGAAAATACTCATCAAGCTGAAGCCAAGGTAAATATTGACCTTCTGGCATGATAAATCCTCCTGTTAATCTAAAACAGAAATCTCCCCCTCCCCCAAAGTGCCCTGTTGGACGTGATTCTGCTGTTTCCGCCCCCCGCCCCCCAGAAGTTCAGAGAGGCAATGTAGGACCGGAGCAGTTTTCACACTGGTTTCTCCAGCTGCCCCTAATCCCCACTGTTCTGGATCCCAGGACAGCCCAGAAATGGGCTGAGTTGACTCAAGGTAGTGGGACAGTCACAATAGAAGGGCTTCTTTGTTCTGGCCGAGCTTTCTGTCCTTGGCCAGGCCAGAACTCGAGCAAAGCATGGATATTTTGGAAGCTGCGAACCCTGAATTTTTCTTCTTTCCCCGCACACCTCCCGAGGTAGGGGTCACTTCTTTGCCCAGCAAACCTACAGGTGTGAGCTTGCCTGTTTCCCCAAACATTGGCCATGAAGTAGACGTTCAGAAGACAGCAATTGGATGCCTGTCACAAGAGCCCATGTTCTTAAACAGAAGTTTGAAAGGAAAAGCAACCCAAAAAAGGGTCAAAAACAAAACCTAAAAAAAACACCAAGAAATAGGGAGTTTGTCCAGTCGGCCAATAAAATACCAAAATTGCAACTCACATGGTGATCAGTTTTGCTTCCTGATGTAGCCACAGTCCGAACAGTGCTTCTCAAAGAACTCCCCGAGATGGCTATGTGATAAAGACAGAAAGGGGACACCTTAGTGGGCTCCATCCACTGTGGTAACAGAATACCATAGACTAAGGGGCTTAGAAACAACAGAAATTTATTTCTTACAGTTCTGGGAGCTGGAAGTCCAAGATCAAGGTGTTGATAGACTTGATGTCAGGGGAGGGACGCTTCCTGGTTCAGGCATGGCCATCTTCTCGCTGTGTCTTCACATGGCGGTGGGGACAAGGGAGCCCCCTAGGGCCTCGTTTATGAGGACACTAGTCCCGTTTGGGGAGGGTTCCACCCTCTTGAGCTAAGCTCCTCCCAAAGGTCCACCTCCTAATACCATGGCACTAGGGGTGAGGATCTCACCGATTGATTCAGGGTTGGGGGGCACAAATATACAGTCCCTTGCAGGTTACCCTAGCACAGGTAGGAAGACGGTGGGGTGTTCAGACACAATGACTCCGAATCAAGATGGGCCTCCCACAAGTGCCCCAGCAGAGGGTATGTGATGGGGAACTCTGCCCCGGGCAGGTAGGAGTGACTTAGGGAGGGAGTCTGGACTTGGAGGAGGGAAGACTAGCAGGAAGTGATCCAGACCTCCCAAGTCACATGGGGAAACAGAATTAAACGTGTTCTTTGAGC